AATCAATTTATCAAGTAGTCCGTGTCAAAGAACTTCATAAGCGAAGAGACTTAGGCTAACGTATAATGTGGTTTTGTAGTACAAGATATATATATCAAAGGGAGTTCCAGTTGTTGAGGGAAGTATATGCAAGTGATCTGAACCCGTAACCCACGGTTCATTCTTACTATAAAGAGAGGATGGAGACATTTTATGAACACAGCAGTAGTACTATGTCCTAGGATGTGAAGGCGTGTATACCGGCGGAAGTTCACTGGCATTACGGAAGACCGTATATCTCCATTTTCAACGTAGAAGAATGAGACAAGCGATAAATCAGCAAGAGCCACGCAGTAAGCAGAGATGGAGATAGAAATAATACGTTCCTCCGAAACGTCAGTGAGCGCCTATCGGATTACACTTCACCGCACTCAAGAAGATAGAACACTGTTCATAGTCACTTCTGCGAGGATCTCAAATGCAACAAAATTATGAGCATCAGAAAGATTTGAATAAAAGCCATCGGGTCTGTCCTGCTACACATAGTACCAACACGCGTGTGATGTACTCCACTGGGATGACTTCGTGTAAAGTGCGTTTCCATTTTTAAGGTTACATCAAATATTATAAAACCTGCAGTCCAATATTCATATCAAATCTCCACGTTATATTTTTGTCATATTTTGTATCCCAAATGGGGAGCCGGGATAGCGTAGTCGGTATAGCAACTGGCTACGGGCTTGACGACCGAGGGGTGGGAGTTCGAGTCGCGGTGGGGTTAAGAATTTTCTCTTCTCCACGTCGTCCAGACCGGCTCTGGGTTCAACTCAGCCTCCTATCCAATTTGTACAGAAGGATCCTTCTCTGACGCTAAAGCTGCCGGAACGTGAAGCTAACCACTCACATCCAGCTAGTGCCGAGGTCAAGAAAACGTCGATTTATATATCCACTTCCACATTCGCCTTCATGGCGTAGTGCTTAATTAGTTAAATACAGGGACAATTTTACCTTAGCTTGCATCCCAAATATTTTAGATTTGTTAAACGTGTGTCGTAATAAAATACAGTGACATTCAGACCACAGTTTGTTTCATGCAACGGTTTATAATCACACCATGGTTTATCTAACTAAAATCGCAGCTCCTCTTTAATACGAAAACATCTAATCACCCATGACAGTTCCTTGTGGAGGTAACAGAAATTACAGCAGGCGGTGGCTGAGGCAGGCTGCTGCAGAATTAATCAAAACTGAGACAGCAGGTACAACTGCGTAGTGTGAGATGCAACACTGGATCATATCGAAAGGCACCACCGTAGCATGCTTTGCCCCTACAACAGCAGCACAGATGTTTTTAGTTTCGTGGGGTGGAGTGAGACTGAGTCCACTTGGTACTGCGGCCACTAATTGGCCTATCGTACCAGTCCCGGATGATAATGGGTGTGGAGCATTCGGTGGAATGAGAATTGGCAGAGTAAACCGTAGTACTAGCAGAAAACCTGCCCAATCGCCATTTTGTCAACCACAAATCCCATATGGCTTGACCTTGGATCGAACCTGGGCCGCCGCGGTGGGAAGCCAGTGACTAGCGGCCTGAGTTATGGCGTGGTGTAGGAGCTCACACGAAATGAAAGTACTTCGGTACAAAACCTCATATACTGGCTGTAGAAAAAGATATATGGGTAGAGCAAGCAAATGGCGGTCTGAAGGCAATGAGATGAATCGGCCACATAGGTATCTCTTCAGATTATTATGGCATTATGTATATCCCGCCAAGAGCTGATGTGTCGGAGGAATATACCGCCTCCTTCATCAGGGTTGAAGAGTAAGCCAAGCAAGAAATGAGCATGTAACTTTATATCACATGGTCACCGCTGTGAGAACCTCAAATAAACTTGTAGTTGTTGCATTTCTCATTTTTATTTATTGTAGATTATTTATTGTCGCTTATCAGTAAGTTTGCCTGTGGTTCTGTATGGGTGTGAAATTTGGTCTCTGACATTAAGGGAGGAACATAGACTGAGGGTGTTTGAGAACAGGGTGTTAAGGGAAATATTTGGACGGAAGAAAGATGAAGTGACAGGAGGTTGGAGAAAACTGCATAATGAGGAGCTTCATAACTTGTACTCTTCTCCAAGTAATTAGAATGATCAAGTCAAGGAGGATGAGATGGGCAGGTCATGTAGCACGAATGGGGGAGACGAGGAAGGCGTATAGGATATTGGTGGGAAAGTCGGAAGGAAAGAGACCACAGGGACGACCAAGGCGTAGGTGGATGGACAATATTAAAATGGATCTTAGAGAGATAGGATGGGATGGTATGTATTGGATAGATCTGGCTCAGGATAGGGACCAGTGGAGGGCTCTTGTGAACACGATAATGAACCTTCGGGTTCCGTAAAATGCTGGGAAATTCTTGAGTAGCTGCAAAATTGGTGGCTCCTCAAGAAGGGCTCAGCTCCATGAGTAAGTAAGTATCAGTAAGTTAGAAATTCGTATAGCTTCAGATGATGGGATAGTAGTAACCGTTGAAAGGAAGTGGTAGGGACCTAATTTGAGCCACTGACCATTCACCTCTCTCTAGTGCCAAGGTCAAGACTGTTGGAGCTATGCAACGAGTCCCCCGTAGGATTCATGGCGTAATGATTAATTAAGAACAGAGAAAATTTACATTTTGATCCATTACTTTCCCGCAAGAACTGAAGAAAAAGACGAAAATACTTAATTAGTTTAGCACAGGGGCAAATTTACCTTCACCTTAGGTGGTGTTATGTGTGACTATGGTTTGGCTGAAGCTTTGCACAGCTGCAGTTAGGTGGGGTTGTTGTCAAGTAATGCCATGGCATTGGCGTCTATTGGGTTGTGTAGATGTTATGAGTGCACACTCTGTTGACAGGTTTTATAAACACTTTACTTTTCAAGTTGTTCATGTAGAGTCTCTTCTTTGCAAAACTGGGGGTTTCTATTATGTCTTTAATGTCTTTCGTATGGCCAGTTTCCAGTATGTGTTGTACACATTTTGAAAAGGATTTCTGTTGTTCTTTTGTCCTGGTTGTGTTCACTGCATCTTATTTTAAAGTTCAACCGCTTTCGGCCTGCATATTTCTTGTTTTTAGCTGAATATTGTAGTATTGGTAGTTCTGAAGGCTCTTTTTATGGCCGTGTCTCTAAATAATCAGAAAATAATTCTACCTTCTATGCCAAAACACAGAAAATGGCGCACTTACCTTCAAATATTACAATTCTTTCAAACACTCGACCAGCACGCAACATAAAATTCGTATACAAGAGCCAGGCCTTTCATCGTACCAGATGAGTATTTAAGATACGCAAAGAAACATAATCGGCGTTATTAGTAGATTCAACTTCGAATAACAATCACATATTTTTGCCTCTAAACACGAAAGAAAATGTAGCAAACATATAATTCTTCGCATATAGACATGAAAGACTTACCTTAAATACACACACAGGACATTGCGAGGCAAGGGTTCCCGCTGTCGGAATAAATTGTTGACAGTATCAAAATTAATTTACAAGTCCAGAAAAATTAAAAAAGAAATTAAAAAAGAAGCACCTCCCAAGGCTTCCGACAGCGAAGAGACCCTGCAAACATCTACTCAGACAGGCCAACATACCGGAAGGGAAAGGAAGACGCTGATAGGTTGAAAATCACGTGAGAAATACATTACGAGCGCAGTAGACGGGAAAGAGGACGGACCGAACAGCAGCTAACAACAAACAAGGAAAATCCGACCCAGAAACAAAGTCAGAAGTGGTCAGAAGCAAACGACAGGCCCAGTGTCACACACCTTGGCCTGATGGGCCTGATACTGCAATCATTTCCTAAATATCACGATTTTTCAATAGACTTCTACCTTTGCTCTATACGCTTCGCCAGTATAATGGAGCTATACTTCCTACAACATAATTTCCCGTAGAAATTAATTTCTTTCGTGGGCTATTTTAGGTGCTGTCGGCATTGGTCTATATAGCGTCGAATGGGTGATTGGATTTATTGAAATTTCTCTTTACAATCTCTCTTGTTCACAATGAATTACAGCTCTACCGCTGATTTACCAACTTCAGAAATCAATAGGACACGCTATCGTTTCCTGGCAACGGATTTATTAGAGGAACTATCACTTCAAATCGCTATGAAGCGATAGCGACAGGCACTTTCATAAGTGGATACCTCGCGAGAAGTGAACAGGCATTTAAACATGTACTTTTACCAAAACGTCTGTTCCACTCATCTGTTTTCGCGGTTACTGTTAGCTCTTTAGTTTATGGGAGCATAAATACAACACAACTATAGAAAGCAGAAATTGAGAAAGTTACAACCCCCCGGCCCCCAAGGGAATATAGGCCTATTCCGTTTGCTACAGAAGCGAGGATGTGTTATCCTTTGTTAGTGAGCGGACTTTCATGTTATGGTTAGAAAGTCAGAAGACATACATTTCAGGCATTCATACTCCCGTACGAATTTCATACATATACGAGGATTTTTTTCCCGTAATGTTGCCTACACAAAATTAAACTTATTTCTACAGACTTCTACTTCAGAGTGTCTGAGGATTTACATACACAGGGTTATTTATAAGTCCGTGAAACATTTTGAAAATTTACAATAAATGAACTACGCAACGGATACCAAATTTTATTACACTGAAATAGAGATAAACTCAGCAAGTTTTTTTTTACATAGTTCACAGATGCTCAATGTATCCACCTTTGCCGATACGGCAGACATCTATATGATAATCCATTTCATTCCACGCCCGTGTCATCATATCACGGTTGACCAGAGTCCAAGCAGCGGTGATACGGTTGCGAAGGTCCCTGAGATTAACATGCAATGGAGGCTTTTAGAAAAAACTTGGAGAGATTAATTCTCTATCGGAGTAAGAATTACCATGATCCGATGCATAGTTTATTTGTTGTGAATTTTTAATATATTTCACGGACTTACGAATAACCCTGCATGTGGCTTCATAATCAGTGTTTATATCTTTATTGCTGCATAATATATTTGTCGATATATTTCGGTCTCTTACAACATACATGATGAACACAGTACAAATGTCATGCTAAGTATAATATGAACATAAGACATATGTAGTTCCGTTGTTTTCATATTTACATTCTTACATAGAAATATGGTGTTGCACTCAGAGTATGCGAATTGTTGCAGATCGACACATCCTGTCATTAGACGCAAAGTGCAGCTCACATTCCCACAGTTCGTTTCTGCTGTGTATCTAGATCAGTCTGTGTTTCTATATTAAACTTGACCTGTCGAAACATGTGAGAATATGAGTGGAAATAGACCGTCCTTTTACATCACCCATTATTGGTATAGTTAACTAATTATGATGTCCATAACCCCAGTGCATTTTGCAGTCTGCAACTACCTGCTCACGTTGGTTCCACGCTCGAGGATTTTCTGTCCTGAAGATGAAGGCGACATATTCCTCCGAAACGTCGGCACACACAAGATCGACACGGCGCCACATCAAGTATTTCTCTGTTTCAGATATGTTCACATGACGTCTATACAACTGCACAGGTTTATTCACTCATACTGTTGGCATAAACTGACAATTTGAATTCTGTTAAGAAGGAAAAACACGATGTTTAAATATTACTAACATGACTAGAATTATCATGTATAAAATGTAACATCAAGAAGATATGATCTCATGAAGGACACAGTTCGGAGACCTGCTCTCGTGTCTCATAGCTCATCATGCGTCATGAGATTTGGGACATGATCCTCTGAGGTGAGTCACCATCCTCCAGAATTTCAAGCATGTGATACATAACAAAGCATAAGCTTACGCCATTTTATGTTCAGTTCACACAGAGTCAGTTAAGCTCTCGTGTCCATTAGGAAACAGGTAGGACGAATTTACCAATGAGAAGTTGTGAATCTCTTCACAGAAACCACCAAATTAAAAATAATTACTCACTTTGTTTCTTCACTGCATTGGCACTTTCTTGTATGAAAATAAATACGGAAGCACTCACGTACTTAGGAAACACTAAACTGAATCACCAAGAATGACATCTGAATCGCTCGTGCTGTCATATTGTAGCAATGCAGAATCCTCATCATCACCATTATCATCAGCGTCGTCAGAATCACTGATTTTTTTCCTTCCGCCATTTTGACATCAGAGTTCAATGGCTTCCGGTCCTTTCCACGAAATGCCGGCTCTCAGCAGGTTATAGAACCGCATAACTCCATAGAGGGCTCCCACCTGCAACATTTTACATGGAATTAAAGTAATTAAAATATTCATGAAATTAATTAGGCCTCATTATGATGATCACATTTTAAAAAGAGTTCCTGGTTATTTTACGACGTTATGTAGGGGCATGCAGTAGCGTTATGCTACAAGCTGGAAGGTAGCGGGTTCGATTCCCAATGAAGTTATTGGATTTTTCAATTAACCTCATTCTTCCAGTCACACTATGGCCCTGTGGTCGACTCAGCCTCTAACAGAAATGAGTATATATTATCTATATTATCTGTATGAATGTTTGAATAGCGTGTATATGATTCTTAATAGAGTGCATCTTGTTGTTTAGATAACTATAGATAATATTTATTTTATTCTTGTCAACACAACACTGTTTTCAACTAATGATGTTGCTGACTAAGACAATATGTTTCTTCAAGTCCTCTTTTTAGTCACAATTAATGTGACATATATTTGCTTGCAAAGACCCAAAAAAGAGGAAAAATCCGGCGAGCTTAAAGTGACATAAAAGAGGCACATAACCCGAAAAACAACAAAAGTAGGTCACATTTACTTACTTCCGTAATGAGGTATGAAAGATAATAAAATTGTTCAGGAACACCGACATAAAAATCGCGTTCAAAACCAACAATAAAACAGAATAACATGTTTGAAAAAAATTAAACCTACCAGAGAAACATGACCTTTACCAGAACAGTGGTGTCTATCCAATCCAACGTAAACCTTGCCCCAAAGTGTAAGCAAGACAAACAGGAAGATCCTTCAATGTCAGACACACAGAACACATAAAAGCTCTCGGCCCTAACACAAACAACTAAATGTACACCCACCACACACTTCAACACGGACATACGACATACGGGACTATAAAAGAAACCTTTCCCATCGTAAGAACTGCTAAAAGGGGCCGTGTGTGAGCACCTTAGAAAGACACTACATATATTGAGCTGATCAAGTGCGAATACAAATTAACGACAACTACTCAGACACGAGCAACCCAAATTTCGAAACTCTATACAAACAGAAACGTAGTCCTTGCCCAGTTAACAGATTCCCGCCACCCTCCACCCTCACACCTTGAACCACCTTGAGCGTCCATAACACAGCAGTACGGATAGTCAGTTCCAAGTACATGTAGGTGCTACACGGGCTGGCGTCAGAAGGCGAGGGGTGCACAAGTATAGACACAAGGCAAGAAAAATACTTCTATAAATATAGGAACTCTTCCCACTCGTCACAGAAAATACTGAGAAAAGCCGGCAAACCAGAAAATCTTCCCTCCTCCCCCCACGGGGATGTCACCAAGAACTCAGGGCCAAGTCGCCCCCAAGGAAGAGCTTTGGAAAAAAAGGATACTTCTAAAATGGACAGAGAGTCTGTCTTTACCGTCACATAAAACACTCAAAATAATTTTAACCAACAGACGTAAGAAGCCGGCCTATTAAATCACATAATATAGCATATAGTACACACAGCACCGGCTTACATGTAAATTCACTCTAAGTGTAAGTGGTTCACTAATTTTAACTAAATCACATATTCCGAAAGATGTCTTAGACTTTCAGAGGACCCCATTTCCTGACAATTGTGTTGTGCTGACAAATATAAAATAAATATTAGCTATTGTGTGTGAATTATATATGCATGTACATTGTGTGTGTGTGTGTGTGTATGTATGAATGCAGGTATTTATATATGTATGCACGCATACAGTACATATGTAAGAAGTCGTGTGCTTTTGTACATATGTAAACTTATTGTGTGTTTTAATATAATGCAAACATGCATGGGCGTCTGTATGTATGTGTATACGTACAGTATATATGTACGCGTGAGTATATAAATATATGTGCAGTATATGTATATGCTGACCCCATGTATGTGTATTTATGTATCTATTTTATTGGTATGTGTGTGTCTGAAAATCTAAACGCACAGTATACACGTAATTGTACATGGTATGGACTCGTATGTATGTGTGTTCGTATCCCAAATATGTTTATGCATTTATACTTGTGTATTCATACGCGCATATAAGCAGTGCAAAATTCTTTACTTACGTTTAGAATTGCTCTCGATATGAAAAACGCCACTTCAGCTTTGCAGAGAACGTCGAATTGCTGAAATGACAGAAGAAAGAATTTATTTTGCCACACATAAATATGGAAAACAACTGTGACTATAAGTTTTCTTCGTTAAACACTAAATTCGGTTTATTTTTATGACAAAACTTTTTATAGTTAAATTCATAATATCAGGGGTATAACTAATTAGCCAATAATGTTCTATTCGTAATGATTCATCATATCATTCTAAACATGCCGTTTATTGCGTGGAGTTATCATGGTATTCTGTATTGTGTAAATTATGTAAATAATATTTAGAAGTTTTATTTTCTACATCACATTTCATCAAAAACCAACCGGTTAATTTTGTCTGTGGAAGCTCGACGATTTTCTGGATTTTGTTAGATTTAAACCGCTTAAATACTGAAGAAGAGTGAGAGAAAAGAAAAGGTGTAGGGGGACTGAGTGAGGGACATTAAATTTGGAAGGGGGGTGTTTTCCGGCTTTTGAAGGTTCCCAGGCAGTACCCGCTCGTCTTTCTAGTAAAGTTAAGTTTGAGGGTGGTTAAGGCTCTAGGAAGCGGAAACGGTAAAAGTTTATATCTTGAATATTTAATAAATGCTGTACAAAAATTCAGTTCGTACCTCACAGGTAACACATCACGTTTCTGCTACAAATGCTGTAAGGGAAACAATCGCTGTTTATTGTGAGAACCATATGAAAGCTTTGCGGAAGGCGAAGTTTTGTATGTTAAAACAGGCGGTTTAAAGTGACAGCTGGTTTATAAGTGGTTAAGCCAGGTGGTACATACGGCATCTGCTCGGAGGGACTGAGAAAGAACACGAAAACTCTCAGTAATTGTATTCAATTCTCTGGCCGTTATTCAAACTGAATGTCTAGGGAGTTACCACTAGACGTACCTGCTCGGTAACAGAGAAGATTTCAAAGATATGCTTCAGGTGTCACTCAGATCTGTTCTCCATGTCACGACTTCTACCATACCTCACACACCAACCCTAAAATAATATGTAACTGAGATGCTGAGTTTGTGTTATTTACGTAGAGACCTTGCGACGAGCTGATAACCCGTCCAAGGAGTCCTACTGTCTTGCAAAAATGGTCAATGAAACTGAGAAATCAGCTCTATGCTCCAAAGTGGGGGCGAAGAGGAAGAAAAAGGAATGAGATGTGGATTAAAGCTCTGATGCACTGTTCCCAATCCTCAAGACACTAGACAGCCAATGGACGAGCATGTTCGCATGTGCTTGTGTCTGTGCACTCAATAGCTATATTAATCACTCGTGCTTTTTGCTTTACTCCTCACACTGAGACATCAGTTTTTTGCTTCACTCTCCAGTGCATTGCCTTCGGACACGACCCGACCACGGGAAAGGCTGACAAGTGGCATGATTGTCCCGTAGAGTCTGACATTTATATTTCAGTTTCTCTTCTTGACGCCTCCATACAATCGTGATAGTACAGTGACCGAATTGACTGGGCGACAAGGATTAATGGGCATGGGAGGGCTGTTTCTCTTCATTGTCGTGTCCACCTAGCTGCCTATCCTGTAGGAGACGGGGTCTCTTTCTCTGGGGATGCTGCGACTAGAAGTTAGGTCCATTTTCTTCACTGCCGAGCTCCCTAGGCTCAAAGGCATCATCTTGTGCCGTTCCGAGCGCTTTGGTAGCGAATTGTAGCCCATTCGTGACTTTCCTCAGTAACTCCATCAACATGCTGGTAAATATGTTTAAATTTATATTTTTATTGCTAGTGGGGTGGGACCAAGTCCCTTGTACTGCGGCCACTTCTGGCCTATTGTACCAGCCCCAGATAATAGGTGAGTGTGATTGTGGAGCAATTGGTGGAATGAAGATTGGCAAGGAAACCGAAGTACTCGGAGAAAACCTACCTCAGCGCCACTTTTTCCACCACAAATCCCACTTGACCAGACCCGGGATCGAACCCGGGCCGCTGCGGTTGGAAGCCAACGACTAACCGCTTGAGCTATGGCGCGGCTCAGTATTTTTAAATAGGTCAGTTACGCATGGACGCGATCCTGGTCCGTCTCCTTTCAAATAATTATCTATTCATTGTTCGTGAACATATTTCCATATCACTGGATGCTGATACATGATCGTAAACATCAACCAGTTCAGGGTAACAGAAGAATGTATATTCAAGTTGATTTGTGTGCCGCTGTAAATTATTCTGATTTAATATAATTTAATAAACATCAAGTTAAAGTAATTTTGTTCAATAATCCGACTTGTTTCGACTCTTAAACAGCCATTAACAAGTATATTTATCACAGTCACTCAAGGCGGCTGCAGGATTGTTGTTTCATTCTACAACACAAATAATAAAATCGAGTGTAGTACAGTGTATGTTGATAGTAAGAGTTGCAGGCGCATTAAAATTCTTATATTGATTTTGTGGAATTTGTAAGTCATAGCAATATCTCAATTATTGTACATGTTACGGTAAAACTAAATATTGACAATTATTAACAATAACCAGTAATTGCGTAGAATTAACAAAAACAGTGGTAAATGTCATATATCTCGTGACAATAATCAATTTTACCGTTAATTATGAACGCTTACAAATTATTATTGATAATTACGAAAGTCTATTGTTAACTGTAATAAACAATATTTTGTCATGCACTTTTTAAATATTTTCTTAAAACTTGATCGCTTCTGAAAGACCGATCAGAGCAGGCATAGAGCAAGGCTTTTAATCTATGTGTTCCGAATAACAGCATGGATTGATACCCAAGAGAGCAATATATGTAGGTTTTTATTACAATTAAAAATGGCTTCGAATCCCAGTTGAGGCATGGATGTCTGTTGGCGTTTCTTCCGTGTTTGTGTTGTCCCGTGTTTAGGTAGCGGCCAAGGAGTTCTACCGTCTCTTTCTAATACCCATAGTTCCAGATTCAGCCAGATGGGAAACAGGCCAGGGGGCCTAATGCGGAAGGCGCAAGAAGAAGGAGGAGGAGGAGAAGAAGAAGAAGAAAGCAAAACAGGCGAAGTTCCCTCTTTGCTTATTTATCACCACGCCATGAAAACGTTTGGGAGAGCTAAACTATAGCTTCAGCCATTCATAAATTAGAAGCTTAGAACTTAAGGCGCGTCCACATTACTCGTACTCGCCGGGAGACTCGTCTGGCTTTTACTTGTGCTCGTAAATCTTCGTCCACACTACTTCAGTTGCTCGCCAGGCTTCGGCGAGTGAGGATCCGTATATTTACTCGTAGTGTGTATAGGTTGTAGTCGTATTTTAATTTATTGGCTATAGTTTTTAAATTAAAAATTTGCTTGTCTCGTGACTTGTCATATCGTCCACATTACGCGCGAGTATAACGAGTCACACGAGCACGAGTAATGTGGGCGCGCCTAAGAACTAGTTTGCCCTGTACTATGCATAAATAAATATGTAAACTTTCTTTAACATTCACGATTCTCTTCTATCCTGAATTATCAGCTTTCACCAGTCTTTGTTCCATTAAACCATACGAGAATCAATTCGAGCACCCTGTGGCAAGTACGGTTAGGTGTTGCTGGATATTGCACAGAGGCTAAATTAGTTGCTAAGCTGTGCTACCTTACGTCACTGATGAACCAGAAGTGCAAGTGCAACAAAATTCAAAATGAGTGACACTCACTTATAACCCAACAAGGTGAAGAGTGGATGGAATACCAAAGAGACACCGGAAAGAGAATTACGGGGCCAGAACAGACATTAAGTGGATCTTGTGCTTAAAGACAAGAAGAACAGGGTAATGAATCAACTGAGTTCATTATCCCTCGGGACTCTTGACATATTCAAACGAATTCAGAGTTTAACAACAGAACTCTAACGTGAATGTTTTTCAAGCATTTCTCGTTCTTAAGGAAAGTCTATACTTTGATCTTTCGTTTAAATAATTCCATCATGGCTAGGCAAATGGAAAATTAAAATAAACGAGACTAAATCTGTCCAAGTGAACTTCACGCTAAGGCGAGAGCATTTTCTACAAGTAAGACTTTATAATAACATTATCCCATAGTCTCCAAGCGTTAAATATCTCGGAATCCATATGGATAATAGACTCACTTGGAAAGACCACGTAATCAAAAAACGCAAAGAGATTGACCTAAGAACCAAGGAGCTAAACTGGTTAATTGGAAGAAGATCCAACCTAGTCATAGAAAACAAAGCCCTGATTTATAAGACAATAATCAAATCAATCTGGTCTTACGGAATTGAACTCTGGGGTTGTGCCAGCAAATCAAATATATCAATAATCCAGAGAAGCCAATCAAAAATACTTCGAATTATAACAAATGCACCCTGGTATGTAAGCAACCAAACGTTACATACAGTATTATATTTAAGCATTCTGTTGCACTCCATACGATAAATGATATAATGATACAAACTCCGTCTCAAGTGCAAAAAAAAAATATTGTTTGCACTTGAGACGGAGTTTGTATCATTATATCATTTATCGTATGGAGTGCAACAGAATGCTTAAATATAATACTGTATGTAACGNAAAAAAGAACCTCACACCACAACAAACTGGCAAATCGCCCAAACGACATCCTACAGCCACGCGTCGAACCGCAGCACAATCGAAGACTCCGAGACACTGGCCAGCTGACCTAAAAGAAAACTAATGAGGAACCTTCCACTGGGGAAGGGACTCACCACGTCATTAAAGAGCATCACAGCTCTTACGCCAGCAAACTAGCTTATAGAATTGTAGATTCTGATTGCTTAATAAATAAATAAAAATAAAAATAATTTCATTGTGAGCTTTTAACAATTGCAGTCTGACGAAAACTTAAAAAATGACTTAGCAAAACCAAGGACTTAAGAGCGGGAACTCGGAGTGTACTGTCCCTGTATAGGAGTGAAGTGGGGCACTCGCAGAGGATACTCGAGGAGTAGACAGACCCACTCTCAGGTGACTGGACTCAGCTGAAAAACACTTTAAGACAATCGGCCTTAGAAACTTGGAGACGAAAGCTTCAGGATCGGAACCAATGGTGAGCAATCGTAAAAGA